GGAGCGGCCACTGCACTCCAGTCTGGGTGACAGAGTGAGACTTCAACTAAAAAAAAAAAACCCAAAAACCCCCCCAAAAACTTCAGTCACCTTCAAAGTACTCTCTGTTCGATGCAATACACCTATTGAGCTGCTTTCTCCATTGCTTAAAACAGTTTTTAAGCTCGTCAATTTTGACACCTTTTAGTGCTTCTGCTATTTGTTCTTTTTGTGTGTTTCACCTCTTTTACACCGGCAAAAACATTTCCCTTTGAGAACTTTTTTCATCTGGAGAAACTAGAAAATGTCGCTATGGGCAAGATCAGGTGAATAGGGTGGGTGGGGCACGGGTGTCAAGCTGTTTTTGGTCAAAAACGGGAGGGCCTTCCGTGCAGTGTGGGCGGGAGCATTTGTAAATCACCCATCGTAAAAAGGGCAAACATGCTGAAAGCACCTTAAAAAAACATACTGAAGCTGAACCCAACCTCTCACAATGCTAGCTGGTACACTGATGCTGGTGGGTTCCTAGAACACTCGCCTCATGGGTGAAGCCTGGATTGCAAGGGGCTTGCCCTCCGAAACATAATTTTTTTGGGGGGTTTCCCTCCTTGTAGATGTAGATTTCTTAGCTGAAGGTTAAAGTTATGCCCCAACATGTGCACAGAACCCTTCGGTAAAGACTCACTGGGAGATGTACTGGTTCCAAGTATTTTAGGAAATCTCTGTTAACAGGCCAGTAAGCTAGTTGGACAGAAATTTCAGGGGTCACACACAACAAAAAATGCAGTCTACAGAATTAGTTCAAAACAGTCGCTAAACAGATAACAGGAACAAACCCTCAAGACAAAGGAGAATCTAACTTCCTGGTGTTGCCCCATCCCATTATTTTAAAGTACAAGGCATGCAAATAACCAAAGTAATATGATCCACACATACAAGGAAAGAGAAGTCGGTAGCTCCCCAAGGAAGCCCAAATATTGGATTCACTAGACATAGACTTTAGATAAGCTGTTTACATATGTCCAAAGGACTGCAAGAAGCCATATCTAAAGAACTAAAGATGAAAATGATGTCTCATGAAAGAGAAACTACCAATAAAAAGACAAATTATTTTTAAAGGACCAAATAGCAAAAGAAAAAATCCAATGATAGATAAATTGAGAATAGCCTGAGGAAAAGACAGAAAAAAAGAATGAAGAAAATGGACAGAATCTCAGAGACATGTGGGACGCCATCAAGTGTACCAACATATGCATAATGAGAATTCCAGGAGAGGGAAAGAGAGAAAGAAGTAAAAAAATCTGAAAAATAATATCCCAAAGCTTCCCAGATGGGATGGAAAACATTAATGTACAAAGAGAACCACACCTAGATACAACAAAATTAAAACTGTTGAAAATAAAGACATATAATTTTTTAAACAGAAAGAAAGAAGCAGCTTATCACATATAAGGAGTCCTAAGTAAGATAAACAGAGACCTTTTTCTTTTCTTTTTTTTTTGAGTTGGAGTCTCACTCTGTCGCCCAGACTGGAGTGCAGTGGCCACTCCCGGCCACCTCGGCCTCGACCTGCTGGGCTCCGGCTATCCTTCCGCCTCCGCCTTCCGAGTAGCCAGAATTACAGGCGTGCGCTACCAAGCCCAGCTAATTTTTTAATTTATTGTAGAGATGAGGTCTCGCCAAGTTGCCCAGGTGGGTCTCGAACCCGCGGGCTCAGGCAATCCACTCACCTCAGCTTCCCAAAGGCGCAGGATCACAGGCTGAGCCACTGAGCCCGGCTGAGACCTTTTTCAAAAGCCATAAAGGCCAGAAGGCAGAGGGATGACAGACATATATTAGTTCATGTGATACTCACAAAAATCTATCTATCTGATCCTCACAATAATTATCCTACCTTAAAGATAAACAAAATGAAGTACAGAGAGGTTGAGTCATTTGACCAAGGTCACACAGTTAATGAGGAAAGAGGTCAGGATTCACACTCAGGCGTTTACCCCTGACATTCACCTTTTTAGTTGCTACATTATACACTTTACAGCAATCCACTGAGTAGGTTCTCTTCCTACAGGTGGTTCTTATTCTACAGGTATGACCACCAAGGCTGAGCATAGCCTACCCTAGACAACCATCTAACAAGTAGAAATTTATCACCCAGACCCCAAATCTAGAGCTTCCTTGCTCTCCAGTTCCTTGTCTTACTCTTCACTGTGCGTGCAAGCTCAGCTCCTAAATAAAAGCTGTGACCCAAGGGGACACAAAGCATCCAGCTTCTGACATGGCATGGTCTGAGGGCCGCTGGGCAGGGAGCTCATGTGACAAAGGCCACTTCTCAGGGTTTCATTCGGCTCCAGAGTGCTGGGGACTCTGAGGGCAGGCGTTGTCCACTCTGATTTTTCTACCCCCAAAGAGTTTCAGAAGGACGTCTGTGCCCAAGATCAACATCCGAGGTCAATCCCAGTGTCTCCAGAATAAGAGTAGGGGCTTTCTCAGTCACCAAGAGAGACTATGTGCCTGAAAACCCGGATGAATCCCTAGAGAGGTCATCCCTGCCTTGGGATGGGTACAGGCTCCGCTTCTTTAGGGAAAGGCAGCAGACTGCCCCAGTACCCGTCTGCCTAGCGCCCCATTTCCCTAGTGGTCCATCTTCTCTTCTAGTCTCAGTGCGGGGATTGGGTCAGAACGAGAGAGTATGATGCCACAGACCCCAAGCATTCCAGGAGCTCCCCTTGCCACCCACCTGAACCCATGCTAGATGCCCAGGCCATAACTCGGCTTCTCCCCTTATAAGCTCTGAAGCTCTGGGGTCAGGTCTTGGGGATTTTTTCAGCCCATTTTATCAAATTCTTCAGAGTGGAAGGAGGGGGCACAGTACACAGAAACTATTGTTGGGAGCTGGCAGAATTTCTTTTATCAAAGGCTGAAGACAACACTGGCACAAATGCAAGTAAGAAGCTTCCTTTTAGCCCTAAAGCACCAGTTCCTTTGGTTTTGCACAAATCAACACATTATCCTTTTAATATATTAAAGTCTTCGTGAATTGACATAGTACATTGACATGTTCTCTGTGATATCCGAAAGGCATTTCCTAATCCTACAAATTGTTCCAACCATTAAAGAAAGATACCTATTAACTCAAGTTAAGCTTGGAGTTAAATGTGGCTCTAGTTCTTTGAAATTGTCACACTGAACGCGGTTCTGGATAGTTAGGAACTGCCTTCCTCAGAATATTTTATTAGCCAGACTATGCCATCCCCCTGAGCTCACCATACTGCTAAGGAATAAGTCACTTAACATTTCTAGGTCACTGAGTCTATTTTTTTGAGTTGGAGTCTCACTCTGTCGCCCAGACTGGAGTTCAGTGGCCACTCCCGGCCACTGCAGCCTTGACCTGCTGGGCTCCGGCAATCCTTCCGCTTCAGCCTTCCACGTAGCCGGAATTACAGGCATGCACTACCATGTCCAGCTGATTTTTTTATTTACTGTAGAGATGAGGTCTCGCTGCCCAGGCTGGTCTCGAACCTGCAGGCTCAGGCAGTCCACTCACCTCAGCCTCCCAAAGGTGCGGGATTACAGCCTGAGCCACTGAGCCCAGCTATGGTCACTGAGTCTTGCAGAAAAAGGTATGTTAAAATTACTATAAGCCATTTGCAGAGACAGAGGAGACTGGCGGCAACTCAATTCCTGCCATTCCAGATCATTGCCCTGGTGTTGGCATCTCTGCCAACCTGGTCCAAAGCAAAGCTGCAAGCCCTGAACCTTGTGCAGGTGTGATGGAGGTCAGGGCAGGAGGTGGAGGGAACACATGGGGGCAGAGGCAGGAAGGCCCAGAATTTGCACTGGATTGTCACTGTCCCTTTCTTCCTGACCCATGGTTAAGACGGGTTCATTGCAGGTGGCCTTCCTTTTTAAGCTTCTCCGGATGCTCAGTTTCCCAGATACCACCCACCTGGACAAAGGGACAGGGATGAGGAGGAAGGGGCTCACAGTGGGGTCTGTCCATCTTGATGGAGCCCTGTATCCTTCTTGAGTGACACTCTCTTGGTGTGTCCCGAATGAGCCCTGGATCTAATGTGCCTTCTTCACTATAGGGGCCATCAGAGACCATGAAGGGGCTTGTGGTCTCCAAGGGACAGCCACGTGGCCCTGGGGGGATGTTTCAGGCTCAGAGTGGAAGACACCGGCCCTCCTCATGTGCTGAGACCAAGAGACAAGACAGGATCAACTCATCCCTTCTTAGTTCCCAGTTCAGCCATGTGGGAACAAAGTCGAGGCTTTCAGATGCCCTGAAAAGGAACTGTACCTGCTTTCTCCAAGCCCCACTTGAAGACATTTAATGGAGGGAAAGAAGGAGGGGGAATATTGCATCTGAACCATCCAAGAAAAGTATCCTCCCAGAAGTGCACAACCTAGCTCCATAGACATAGCCTGTCTTGTGTGACTGAGCTAAGACAGTGTTTTTCCAGGCAGCCGACTGCAGTGGCAGTCTGTCCAGACAGAGCCCGGTGTTTATTCAGTGAGGTTTTGACAAGCCAAAAGCTACCTGCAGAAGGGTTGCCTCAGCCACCCAGAAGGACCAAACAGTTGTGCCCTGGCATGGCCCTTGATGATCTTTATTTCACAGCCTTCCCTGGGAAGGATTTTAACTTATGGATTGAGAGTAGTCAAGGAGGGGGCTGACTATGAAATCCACTCGAATTCATCCAATTCTGACAACTGAAATTGGCCCTTAAAGAATGAAATACAAATGTTCCTTTGTCCAGAGGTAGACATATTAACACGTGTGATATAACATGAGCCATTTTGAAGCAGTGACTCAAGGGAATCTACGGCTGATAATCTAACACATAGAAGAGGTTTGCATTCTGCTCTAAAATTGCACTGGATGATGAGAGAGAAAAGTACAGTATCAATTCTGATATCACCACCAGCATCTGGCACTCCAGGTGACGCAGTTCAAAAGGACAGCGACTTAAATATCGAAGTGTGCAGAGAAGGCTGTTTACCATGAGGAACATCGACTGCTGCTAAGCCAGACCCATCTTCAGGGGTCGTTTCCTTCCTTGACCTCAGGAGAGGTACAGCTCTGACTTTGGGGGTGGGAAGGGATAGGAGACCAGAGCTCATGCAGCAACCTGATGGTTTACGTCAGTTAGAAGGAAGTCTTCGCCCCAATGACAGTGTTGAATTTGGAAGCACCTTGGGTGCATTTCCAGAAAGAACTAGGCATCAACCACCTTATGGCCATTCCAATGTAGACTGGTGGTGTCAAAATGAATCCTCAAAATAAATACCATCTAAACTAGGGGAAGAAGCCTATTTCTGCTATGGGTAATGGACCCACAGGAAAAAGAAATCAAAGAAGGGCCTCACACAAATAAATAAAAACCTAATTTAGTTTTGTAAATAAACAGCAAATAATATATTCATCTATAATATATTCATCTAATTCCTAAGTCAGGAGTGAAGAATATTAAACTGAATTCAGTAAGCAGTAAGACCATGCTTTGATTTTATAGTATGCCTAGTTATGAAAGAGAGACGGAAGGAGAAAAGTGGAAGGAACATTCTACCGAAAGTCAGTGTGAATTTCTTTGCACTGAGCCTCTCTCCTGCCTCCGTCAAATCCAGGTTTTTGGTCTGATGGTCCACAGACCTTCGATGGCTTTTATGACAATTATCAGGTGGCCAAGAAGCTTTTGGGGCACAGCTTGTCTCTATACCCGCAGGTACTGAGGGCTTGACGAAATGAGGTGATGGTCGTTCTAGCCCTCACATGGAGTTTCAACCTGTACCATGGCCATCAGGAAGGAACCCTTTACAGGACATTGTAAGAGGCCTGGAACAGGAGTCCCCCACCTGGATGAGCATCAGAATGCTTTTGAAAAACGCTGCATCCCAGGTCCCATCAGTGAATGCAGATAGGGCTGGATTCTGATAAGAAACACAACGCCAGATATTGGATCGATTCAAGGTTTCTCAGCCTCGGCATGCTTGACATTTTGGGCTGGATAATTCCCTTTGGTGGGAGACCTTCCAGCGTGTTGTAGGATGTCCAGCAACATCCTGACCTCCATCTGTTAGATGCCAGGAGTGCCCCTCTCACCACCAAAATGTCCTCAGACTTTTCCCAGTGTCCCCTGTGGGGCAGGATCGGCCCCAGGTGAGATGACTTTGGGCTACCTGTTGATCACATGGCCTGTGCCTGTTGACAAACGACTTGAGCCTGGGCCTCAGTTACCCCATCTGCCATCAGGTCTGTGGACTCATCCAGCCTCAGCACCCTGAAGATCTCCCAGCCTCTTAAGCACCCCCATTCGCCCCCTGAGATTTTTCTCTAAGGATCAGAGACAGAAATATTGATCCGATGCAGGATTTAGGAGGAAGATGGGCTGTCAGAGTCCCGCGTGCCCAGTGAAATGGTGCCATACTCTCCTCTAAAACTCTGTCCCTGATCCAGGCCCTTCTCTCAACTCAAGGCTGTCTCCCTCCTTTGCAGAGAAGAACTGCTCCTACTTCAGGCATTTTAACCCAGGCGAGAGCTCGGAGATCTTCGAATTCACCACTCAGAAAGGTGAGTTTGGGGTGCAGGGGGGCAGGGGTGAGAAGGGGATCCTGTCCCGTGCCACTGAACTGGAAAGCCATTTGGCAGAAAGCACTGCCTCCCTGACACCTGATGGGAAGCAGCCTGTCCTGGTGTATGTGAGCAGCAGCTGTGTCACCGCCCCACTCCCCAACGGTTCCAGACAGCTGCCCTTCAGCTCCAGGCCCCTGGAGCTCCATCCTCGGGGCTGGGGGAGCTTGTGAACACATTTTCTGGTAGGCTGCTGCCCAAGGGCAGCTGCTGTGGCAGGAGCTATGGAAGTGGAACAAGAGCTTGGAATCCCTGGGATGGTCTCCTGGGCTGGTGGGTCCGAGTCTGGGGGGCAGTCTGAGTCCCTCTCGCCTGGAAATCCCTCCTAGAAAGCCAGGAGGCCACAGTGTGTTCTGGGGCCTTGTGGGATTGACAGAGCTCAGGTGCACACCCAGGCTGGGAGTACTGACCAGTGTTGAGCTCTCAGACAGCTGCAAATGGTGTGTGTGGGCACACATAGACACACACGCACAGACACATAGACACACTGACACACACACACACACAAGCGCCCACAAGGACTAATGCACAGACACACACACTAACATCCACAGACTGATACATACAAACACACTGGCAGACACACACTAACACGTAAACTGACTAACACATGGGACATACACTAACAGACACTAATTCACACAGCCAGATAAGACACACACACTAACACACACAGATACACACAGTAACACACACAGACTGACACACACAAACACACTAGCACACACTGACAAACACATTCGGACACATATAAACTCATAGATTCTCACGAGGGACATACAGACAGCAATGCACACAGACGTACAAGACACACACTAACACACACAGATAAGCACTAATACAGAGACACACACGGTAACACACACAGACTGACACACAAACATCCTGACACACACTGACAGGCACACATAAACTGGCAGAATTTCATGTGGAACACACTAGCAGACACTAACGCACACAGACAGACGCACACAGAAGATGCACAATAACACACACACACAGGTGCTAACACATAGACACACACACTGACACACACTGACACATAGTAACATACACACAGACATACACCAACACACAGAAGCTGACTGGTCCTCATGGGGGACACACACTAGCAGACACCAACACACATAGACAGACACACACTTACACACTCTGACAGACTCACACGCACTGGGCTACTCTCGCCTTTCCAGAGGCTCCTTCTCACCTCCCAAGAGCCTTGGCCGGCTCTGCCACACCTGGGAGGGCTCTGCTCTAGATAAGTCTCCAGCTACCTGCCTCCTACCCGAGCCTGGGCCTCTGCCCCTGTGGGGACCTTGAAGTCTAGAGCACTGAAAAGATGGTGGATGGAGAAAGTCATGTCAGCAGCCTGGCACACGCCAAACCTGATTGAGACTTAGAGAGTGACTTGGTCTCTGGACCCGTCCATTTTCTCATGTGTGAAGGGGAATGTGTGTGGTGGTGTCACCAGCCTGGCTGAAAGTACAGCAGTCAGGCTAGAAGGTCCCGGGCTGAGGCCGGGTTCTGAGACGCTCTTGTGTCCGCAGAGTACAGCATCTCGGCTGCCGCCATTGCCATCTTCAGCCTTGGCTTTGCCATCCTGGGCACCATCTGCGTCCTCCTGTCCTTCGGGAAGAAGAGGGATTACCTGCTGAGGCCAGCATCCATGTTCTATGCTTTTGCAGGTCGACTGGGGACTCCGCCCGTGGGCCCAGTTTGGGGGATGAGGTCACAGGGGAGCCTCTGCTGTGCTCTCATGCCTACTCAGGATTTGGGCAGGGAGCATTTCCCAGGCTCCAGCCTCATCTGGGAGCCAACTTGGTCAGGCCCTCGGCATCTCAAGGTGGGTTGGAGGGCAGTTGGTTCAATCCTCAACACGACTCAACCCTCAGGGAACCGGAAAACTTTCTAGAGAGCAACTCATGAAAGAAGGAAAGGGCTGCAGTCACCCTTCTGAGGGATGTGGGAGCCGTGCAGTGGGCAGGGAAATTAATCACTTTTGCAGGTTGCCAGTTAGACTCTGTCTTGCAGCAGTTTCCCCCCCAAAGTGTGTCACTGCCTTCTCCACCCCACACGAAAGGCCAGTAGACGCAGGTTGGGGTGGGCGGGGCCAGGCATCCCAAGGTCTCTGAGAGTCCCGGCTCTGCTCCCAGGTCTCTGCATCTTTGTCTCGGTGGAGGTCACGCGGCAGTCGGTGAAGCGCATGATTGACAGCGAGGACACCGTGTGGATCGAGTACTATTACTCCTGGTCCTTCGCCTGTGCCTGCGCCGCCTTCGTCTTCCTCTTCCTCGGGGGTCTCGCCCTCCTGCTGTTCTCCCTGCCTCGGATGCCCCAGAACCCCTGGGAGTCCTGCATGGATGCTGAACCCGAGCACTAGCCACGCCTCAGCCCAGAACCCTCCAGAGAGGCGGCGGGAGTGTCACCTCTGCCCGTCCCTGTCTGCCCATCCCACGACAGCCACAGGCTGCTCCCCTCCCTGGGGCCTGCTGGGCTGCGACGGGCTTCTCTGAGAACAGAGCACGAGGACGTGAGTCTACAGCTCCCCTAGCTGGGGGAGGCAGGGCCAGCAGTGGACAGGTGTTTGGAGAGGCCCAGCTTCCAGTGAAGCTCAGAGTTGTCCCCGCTGTGCCAGTGGTCCGTGACAAGCTGGCTCCTGTTGCCCTGTATAAATGTCACAGGGACAACCTGTGCTCACCTGCCAGTTCTGGGTGCTCTCTCGTGTGAGTAGCCAACCCCTCTCTCCTCCTCGGTGACAAGTTGCACCTCTCAGCAAGCCCGGCATCCCCTCCTTGGCTTCAGGAGCCCTGAGAAACATTTCTAACTGGGTAAAAGTGGACTGTGGCTTAAAATAAAAGCTCCCAGAAAGTTTTCTTTTTCTTTGTGCCTTGCATAGACACTTCCCAGATTCCTGCCCACACCCCAGTGTCCCCCGACCCTGACTGAGACGGGCTGCCAGGGTACGTGGAGGACTTTTGTGAGGATGTGGAGGAAATCAACATGGCTCTAAGGTTCTGAATCCCACTTGTGTTCCTGGGTCCTGGAATTGCTTTGGGGAGAAGCTTGAAGCCCTCGGATTGAGTAAAGGTGTTAAAAATAGGAGGGGCTATTTCAAGTCAGGCATGTTAAGCGCCCAGTGCCAGCACAGCAGCAAGGCAGCCAGCAAGAGGGGTTGGGTTTCTGATGCTGAATTTTTGTTGCAGAGAACATCAGGAAGCAGGACTTAGCGGTTAGTCGCACGTTACACAGAGCACTGTGACTTGTGCTGTTTTGAAACACCTTCCAGAACCCCGGAGGGCAGACACTCACCTGGCCTTTAGAGATGGGTCAGAGGTGGATGGCAGACGGGACCCTTGCACTAATTGCCCTGGACACTGGGGGTCTCATTGGAATTCGTGCTTTTACAGCAGGGGTGGGCAAGCTCCAGCCTGTGGGCCAAACCTAGACCACCACCTCCTTTTGAATGATTCGCAAGCTAAAAGGGGCTTTTATAGTTTTAAGTGGTTAAAGAAAATCAAGGGGCTCAAACCTGTGGTCCCAGCATGAGGCAGGAGGATTGTTTGAGGCCAGGAGTTTGAAACCAGCCTGAGTAGCATAGTGAGACCCCATTTCTACAAAATATATTCTAAAAATTAAAAAGAATAAAAAGAAAAGTAACATCTCGTGATGTGTGAAAACTATATGAAACTCAAATCGCGGTGTCTGTAGCTAAAGTTTCATTGGAACCAGCCATGACCATTTGTGACTACTTTTGTTCCAACAGCAGCCCTGAATCACTGCAAACCCGAGAGCATTTACTGTCTGGGCCTTCATGTGGTCCCTTTTCTGAAGTAAAACCGTACACGGGTCAGAGCCCTTGTGGACCATTCCTATCTGGAAGGTGAGGGAAAAGGCACTGCTCATTCTTTCAACTCACTGCAGCCTAGAAGATGGAGAAGGCAGGAGCCTGAGTCTGTATGTGCCGGGCAGTGGCCGTGGCAAAGCTTGTGGAGATTCTTCCCTGGTGTCTTAGGGCTCTGGACTGGGCTGCAAGGGACAGCAGAGGGGCACTCATGACCCAAAGATGCAAAGGTCGAGTCTGGAAGCAACTCCTTCCAGGTAAAGGTGAACAGGAACATGAAAGCCCTGGAATTGGGGCTGCGGGTTAAGCATAAGAAGGAAGACAGAAAGTTTCATTCCGCAACTGCCATTTTGGAGGTCAATATTATTGTTTGATTATTATTTTTACTTTTCGCAGAATCAGACTGGTGTGCGTTTTACATTTCCCCATGGGTGCCTATGTCTCTGCCCAGCCCCAAACACTTCTGAATGGAACATCCACTAAACACAATACATCTGCTTCCCAGAGTTTTAACTCTTTTGAGAGAGCCCTACACATGCCTGGAACCTCAGTGCAGATCAGGGGGTTGAAGGGTGGCTGCCTGAGGACCACTCATCCTGACATCTGCCCGGCTTCTGTGGAGAAAAAGACGGAGCAGCACAGCTGTTAGGCTACACTCCCAGCAGGACCTCCAGAATGTTAGGTCAGGCCTGCTGGAGGTGTGGGTGTCTGGTGTGCGATCTGGTGCCACAAGAAAGATGCAAAGAAATGCACAGAAGTTAGATTAGAAAATGTAGTCTATTTAGAAAGAAAATTAGAGAGAGAGAGAGAGAGAGAGAGAGAGAGAGAGAGAAAGGATTCGCCTCTCCAAGATAGGAGAGGAGACCAGAGCTTAGGAAACGTGGACTGGCCATAGCTCAAAGAGCACATGGTCACACCATAGCTTAGCAAGACAGTGGCAACTGGTTGCTCATGGTTGAATGCTTTTAAATATTCCCCTTGATGGGGACAGGTTGTTAAGGTGATTGGGTGGTGGTCTGCCTCATGTCATCACAAAGGGGACAGGTAAGCGCAGGCGATAGACAACAGACAGATGGGTTAGTCACATGATTGCTGCCATGGTGGTGGGGTCTGTCTGTCACAAAGGTCATGAAGGGTTGATTAGGTTAACTTGGGTCATATGGGTGGAGGCAAAAACTTGAACTAGAAAAGCTAATTAGTACAGAACAAGCTAGGGAGGGAGGTTGTAAAACAATTATCAATAGCTACCTCTGAGAAACCAGTACTGTCCTTGGCTAGTGATCAGAGGTTAAGTTAAGTGAACAGCTAGAAAAACTTGAGATTTAGGCAATGTTAAAATGACTGCTCATTGGGTATATTAAATACATGTCATGTCCTTTCATTTGTGTGTTAAATCCATGCTATGTCTTTTCAACAGCAAAATGGAGCCAGATGCTAACAAACAAATTGACCAAACCAATGAGGGCAAACACCTTTGCCCCCCAGGCCTCCAACTGCTGCTTGCCAGGAAGGAAATCCTGGTGGAAAGGAACGGGCAGTCAGCCAGCCTTGTTCCAGCTGAGTCTGGCTAAGCACCGACGGCCCCACTCAGCCTCACTGCTATAGTCCATCCAGGCCCTACTCTGAGGACTGGCTGGCGCCCAGCCACAGAATGGCAGTGTGATTTGCTCTAAAGCTCACAGTTGGCCTCAGAAACCCATGTCTTCTCACTCCTTGTTTGGAAGTGTGCAAAATTAACAATCGCCAAGCCATGATGTTCCATAAAGCACTTTCATTCTCTCAGGGTTTCTATGTCCATCATCTTGTGAGGAACATAGCAGAACCAGGACATCAACATAATACACATGGTGTTTTTAAAAAGTTGTGGTAGAATACACATAAAATTGCCGTCTTAACCATTTTTAACTATATAGTTCAGTACTGTTAAGTATACTCACACTGCTGGGCAATTACTACCACCATCCATTTCTGGAACTCTTCATCATCCCAGACTAAAACTCTGCACCCATTAACTCCCACTCTCCCATCTCTTAGCCCCTCACAGCCACCATTCCACTTTCTGTCTCTATGAATTTGGCTACTCTGAGAACCTCAGGTAAGTAAGACCATACTGTACTTATCTTTCTGAGACTGGCTTATTTCACTGAGCATAATGTCCTCAAGGTTCACCCATGTTTCAACATGTGTCAGAATTGCCTTCCTTTTTACAGTGGAAGAGTGTTCCACTGTGCATTTATACCACCTTTTGGGTATCTGTTCTCCCACTGATAGACACTTGGGTCATTTCCACCTTTTGGCTATTGTGAATAATTTTGCTGTCAACACAGGTCCATGCTTCCTTTGAGTTCCTGCTCTCAGTTTTTTTGGGTATACACTAAGTGTGATAACTTAAAATCGAAATTAATGCAAAATATCCACAAGATCAAGATTTTAAATAGAGATAGTATCCATATTACTGATTTTTTCCTTTGTGTTGTACTCTTATGACTGAAAATGGCACTAGAAGGGATCCATAATTATTCCCATAGTGCAGAGAAGAAAACTGAGGATCAGAGAATGGTCTGTATACCTGTGTAACTTTTGCCAGTGCAGGAGTTAGAATCAAGTCTCCTGGTTTCCCATATGTCTGACCACAGCTGCTTACCGATCTTCACTTGATCTCTACCTGCGTTATTAGAGGGACCAAAAGACGTCATACTTTCTTTCTGGCTGACACACTGTAGGCTCAGAGGTTAGGGTTTCTCAGGGCAATTTGGCAGGCAGAGGGGCTAGGGAATTGAGACTGCTGATTGGTTGGGGATGAAATCATAGAGGTGACAAAATTGTCTTCATGTATGGAGGCAGTTTCTGGGTAGGGTTCACAGGTCATTGATATAGTTGGTGTCACATGATCTACTGGAATATCTCAGACACCTACCCAAGTGGTTTGATTCTTAATCCTCCCTTGAAATTGAAAACTTCAGGGCTCTCTCTTTACCTCTATTTTTTCCTTGCTTCCCTAAAAAAGAGAGGTTTTAATCATATCCTGCTACAATATTTCTCCTATCAGTGTGTCTTGCCCCCTTTTTACCAAATATTTTTTTTACAAATCCATTTCTAATTTATACCCTGCCTGCTTTCAGGAAAGATGAGATGTGGAGACAAGGTATTAATAAGCCCGTGATGTGGAACATATCTATTAAACTGATGATTAGTATTCAGGCTAAAACACAGCTGTCCCTGGCCTCCTCAAGCCTTCATTTCACAGTTTCACTCAATTGTAGCCACTGAGGCCCTAAATTAATTCTCGCACAAGGCATTGATCCTACACAGTGGAGAAAGTTAATTAAGGTCATTGCCATTACAGGGAGTGATGGTTTCTGTTCTTTTGACTTTGCTCCTGATGAGAACTTTTGCCTGAATGTGAAAGTTCTGGCGTTTTGGAAATCTTCATCATTTGGGGTTTAGACTTGCCTCTCTCTTGGCCCACAAAGCAGCCCTAGTAATCCCATGGAGAAATGGAGGATGAGGAATTTGTCTGCAACCACAACCTGAGAGTTCT